GTCAGGAACCACCCGAGCGCGGCTGCGGTTTAGTTCGGTTTTAATATATAAAACACAGAGTTCCCGCCCGGCCGGCGCCTGCCTCTGCCGTGTCCCTCCCCGGGGGAGCTCTGTGCTCTCCACAGGCTGGGGCTGGCCGCTGCAGTCCTCAGAGGGCAGGAGGTGGCTTTCCACTGCCACCCTCTCCCTGGATCCTGAGCCTCCGGGCTCCCACCGCACCACAGAGAACCCCACACGCACTCCAGAGCTCAGCCCGATCCTGCTTCAGCTGCACCACATCCACCTGTGCCCATGGCACCACCACCACTGTGGAAAGGGTACGGCAATAGCAGGAACCCACAAGTGTTGATGCATCCTTCCGAGCAGCCAGCCACAAGGTTAAGCTGGTGACTGCACTGTCCATAACCTTTAAAACCCACTTGCTCCTTTCCAAGCAGACAGCCCATGTTGACACTGCCTTAGCCCAGGCAGATGAGCCTCAGGCTGGTAGATGGTGCTGAGGGTTCCAGTTGTACAGCAGTCCAGCCGAGCAGCTCTGGCCTGGAAACTCCTAAGGCTCCAGCCGCCTTCTGATCTCATCAACAAGTTTTTCTCTTGGGATATCAACCTATAAAGCAAAGGGAGAGAAGGAGGTAGCAGCAGTGGACCCCCTCACTAGAGCGTGGTTTAATCTGGCCATAAGGACTTGCTATGACCAAAGCACTTTGTGACTTGTCTTTTGGAGCAGTCACCCAACAGGCACGTGCTGCAGCTCCCCAAAGGAACAACATCACTGAGAGAAAACCCAGAGCCTTCAGCAATCTCTAGATTTAGAAAGTGCTTTTGGAATCAGGTATAAAAAGCCATTCTTACCTCCTTTCTTGTTGCAACATCTCGCAGCTTGACGACTCCATCTGTCAGCTCTTGCTCCCCTACAATGGCAGCAAGGGGGATCCCCGTGTCCTCACAATACTGCAGCTGTTTCAGCAGTTTAGGATCCTTCTTGTACAGCATCTCTGCCTAGGACAGAGTGGAAAAGGTGAACCAGTAATGCAGAATTTGCTCTGATGGATCTTGGGAGCAAAACAGCCAGCACCAAAACCTGCAGCCTTTAGTGCTCTCAGCTGTTCTTCTTTGCCTCCTAGATCTCAGATGGAGAAGAATTTGAAGAGACACAACTAATGCAGTTGGTCTTGCTGTGCCTACAGCTCCCTTCAGGCTCTCCCTCCCTCACCCATACCAGTGCCAAGCCCATGTCCTTACTTTACCTTGATCCCTGCACCCCACAGCTCGGAGATGAGCTTCAGTCTTGCAGCAAGTAAATGTTTGTGAGGTGTAGCCACCAGCACTTGTGTCTCTGTTGTTCGAACCTTCTCCCCAGAAGCCTGCAGGGACAGACACTCGTGGCAGTGACTGGTTCCAAGGGACTCTACAGCTCCCAACAGCAGCTCATCTCACCTTATTTCAGACCCTGACTTAGCTCCCAAAAACAAGTAAAAGCCAACCATCACCATTCAGTGGATGTTACTAAGCAAGGCTGATCTTCCACAGCAAAAAGAGCACAGGTAAGACAGCCTGGACACATTTAATGAGTCCCCCAGAGAAGCTGTATCATGACACACTACTTAAATCATGTGCTGCTGTTCCTGTGGGATCTTGGTCTTCCTCCCTCCCTCCCAGATGGGACCTGGCCAGCTTTCCAATGTTGCCTTTTATTTTTCAGGCACAAACACATTGCCCCAGCTTCATCTGCTGTGAATCACAAGCTCAGAACTGAACACACAGAGATGAATTTGGAGCTCACTACAGAGTGCCACAGCTGCTACTGAATTCCTCACAATCCCCACGCCAGAAAACTTCACAGGCAAGAGACAAGAGGAAAGTGACTGTAGCACAAAGTTTGGAGCCAGGACCAGAGCTCAGGATTGTCTCTAATGCTTCCAGGGCATCTGCTATGAAATGCCCTCAGCAGCCCACACCTGCATTCTGCTGGGCCGCAGAACAGGGCTCTGTCTTCTGTGCATGGACACTGAGGCATGAGAGGAGCCACTGTCCCCTAAAATGCTTTCCCCTTGAAAACTGCTGAGTTGTAAAGCTCCACCATTAACAAGAGCTGGCTTCCTAGAGCCCTCTCCCAGGCACTGCTGCAGCACCAACCTTCATCCTCTGCTCCAGAATGGAGAAGATCCGCTCGATCCCAATGCTGACCCCCACGCAGGGCACCTTCCGTCCCTTGGGATCGAACATCCCCACCAGCCCGTCGTAGCGGCCGCCTCCAGCCACGCTCCCGACCCTCACGGGCACCTCC